AGCAGTCGTAACACGCGAATTTGTTTGCCTTAGGAGCATGGAAGATCTCTATGCCCTGCAGAGCCTAAGCCATGATGTTGCTACTGAGGAAGCGCCACCATCCGGAGGCCCCAACAACACCAATAATTTTCGTTAGATTATCTAAGTTAATTTTCTTACTTAACATTATTTTTGAGAACCATTATCTTCTAGTAATAATCTTTGTTAGGGATCTCACTCTCTCCACATTATCTCCCCTTACTGAGAATGGATGATAGTGCACGGACACCCAGTGCGAGGAGCTATACACATTAATGCCCAAAGCCTAACTAAAAAAATTTACTAATTTAGGTATATATTTGTCCAGTCCAATGTTGATGTCATATGTGTGTCTGAAACGTGGTTTTCGTCTCATGTTAATGATATGTTAGTAGAATGTTTTCGCTATGACCTGTTTCGATCTGATCGAGATAGTCACGCAGGAGGTGTAGCCATATATGTAAGTAAACGTCTAAATGCAAAATTTGTATGTAAACACCGTAATGATAGTGTAGTCAAATGGATATTTGTCCAAGTCTCCAGTGCAATACACTCCTCAAAAATTTTAATTGGCTGTGTGTATAGACCTCAGTGGTATATAGCATATACAAATTTAATTGACTTACTATCGACATTGACACTTACTTACACACAGATGTAATACTAGCTCAACAGTAATATACTGAGGGAATATCACTTATCGGATGACATTAAAGCTACGGGATTAAAGTTAGTAAACACATCTGAACCTACCCATTTTTATAATTACTGTGATACTTTACTTGACCTATTTTTTGTAAATCATAGTCACAATGTTTCTACGTTCAGACAGCTGTCCATGCCAATGTTTTCGAAACATGACTTAATTTTCTTGACCTATTATTTTAATACAGACTTAAACGAAAACATAATAGTTTATAGAGATTTTAAAAATATTGACTATGACTTTTTAAGTGCTGACTTGAATACATGTGACTGGGACTCTATATATAACAATCCTAATATTGACTCACAATTGACTGTCCTCCAAAATAATATAATCTACCTATATAACAGATCAATACCTCTAGTGGCAAAAACTGATAAACCTCGTGGCAATCCCTGGTTCAACACGCAAATTAGAATATTAATAAAAAAACGCGACACTTCATTTCGAAAATGGAAGCGGTACAAAACAAGCCAGCATGCTGAGCAGTATAAGCTACATAGGAAGAAGGTGATACAATTAAACAACTCAGAGAAACGTAAATATTTGTTTAACAAATTGATTAAGGCAACATCAAACAAGCAGACATGGTCCTACATTAAGCAGCTGGGTATTGGTAAATCCAACAATGAACGCATCTGTGATGTTGATCCTGATGTACTCAATGAACAATTTTTAGACTGCAAAGTACCTGAAGTGACTAAAACTGACTATGTTGAGCACTTGCCCCAAAATCTATATAGAAACCGTGATGGTGTAAACTACTTTTGTGATAATGGTACCTGTGATAATAGTTTTAGTTTTTCATGTGTAACTGAGTCAGATGTCCCCGAATCAATGTTAAAAATTAATTCAAATGCCACTGGTATTGATGATATAAATCCAAAATTTATAAAATTGTTATTGCCAAAAATACTGCCCTATGTACATAACCTACTTATACAACACAGCATTGGACTCAATCAATATTTCCTGATTCTTGGAAAGTAGCAAAAATACTACCAATTCCAAAATCTGCCAACGAATACAGGCCTATCTCTATATTACCTTTTTTATCAAAAGTGTTAGAACGACTAATGGCTGGTCAGATGAAAAATTACTTGGCAGCTAATAAACTATTGACTGACAAACAGTCAGGTTTTCGTGTGGGAAGAAGCTGTACAACAGCAATAATAAACGTAGTGGAAGGTATCAGAGAAAAATTGGACAATGACAATATAACGTTCTTGACTCTTTTAGACCTTAGTAAAGCTTTTGACACGGTTAACCACGAAATTCTTTGTTTTAAACAAAGCTGATCTTCTCTTATTTGAGTAATCGGAGGCAGACTGTGTCCATTAATAATGTGTATTCGTCTTTCCTGTGTCAAGCGTGGCGTTCCTCAAGGATCTGTCCTCGGTCCATTACTATTCTCTGTGTATATTAAGGATCTTCCGAGTGTATTGACAAATTGTGAAGTACTGTATGCTGATGACGTTCTAATGTATGTTAGTCGTCCTATTAGTAGAATTAATGACTGTGTTCGTCTTTGTAATAGTGAATTAAAAGCCATAAGTCAGTGGGCAAAAATCAATGGGCTAGAATAAATAAGTCAAAATGTATAGTCATAGGTAAAAGACAGTTCAACACTGACACTCTACAAAAATGATCGATTAAAACTATCCCTATAGAATATGTAAAACGGGCCAATAATATAGGTTTTACATTTAATCAAACGTTGACATAGGATGACCACATAAGTAAATCAGTCGGAAGAACATATGGAATTCTTAGATCGCTATACATAACGAAAGATATTTTACCACTGAAAATCAAACAAACAATTGCAACAATGTACCTCACACCAGTACTTCTTTATGGTATCGAAGTCTTTAGTGACTGTAACTCCGCTAGCCAACGAAAGCTCCAAGTTGCTTTTAATAATATCGCGAGATATATTAATAATAGACTTAGAACTGACCTATTTCTGACGTAATGATTAAGATATTCGATATGCCACTTAAATCCTGGAAAAAACATAGGGTCTCGACATTATTGCAGAAAATTATATACACCAAAGAACCTTGTTACCTATACGAAAGACTTAGGTTTAGCACGTCAAGAAGGACCAGAAACATTATGACAGTTCAATACAAGTACTCCTGCACAATGCGGCAATTCTTTGTATGTTGTCCGCATTTGGAACCAACTTCCCCACGCCCTTAAGGCCATAAGCGGCGCGAAGCAATTCAAGATCGCACTGGAGGAACATCTGCGCACTGCCTAACTCTAATATTTTAAGCTTTTTAATAGTGGGGATGGATGAAGAGAGAGCGAGACCTATAGAAATGAAATTAAATATATTCTGTCAGTAAATGTTACTATGTATTCTGAATTTTTAAATGTTAAAAACTATTAGAATTGTTGTGACTAGCGCCGTAATTTATAAGTATTTACATATATGCTTGTCGCGCTAGGATGGAAAATACAAATAAATAAAACAAAAAATCTAGGTTTTGTGAGATACTTATTCCAGGCTAGGATATGCATCAGCCTGTCCAGGATGCTAAATCAAAAGTCATTTGTAATTTGCGAGGACTTTTGAAGGACGGGACTCGCCGGCTGAAAAATAATAGGATCTTTCGCTAAGAATCACAACACTTTTGGTTTTTGTTAAGTTTATGGGTTATCTTTATTCTCGCTTGTATTTTTACGCGACGTGTACGAATCGGTTTTCGTTGCCCTTTCCTCGACGTTCTCTCCTCTGAACGAAAGCTCAGTCCCCTCCAGTCCAATATCATCTGGCGCCTGCCGCAACGACGACCTGTATGACACCCTCGTCCCATCATCTACATCCTGCACCTTGGCCAGAGACTGGACTGTGGCATAGATAAAGAAAACGAGTAATGCGTAGGTGACTATGGATTTTTTGAGCAGCTTCATGGTGGAGCTATGATGTGATGTTGGCTTCTTCTCTGGTTTCAGTTAACAACTAATTGAGTTTTCTGGGGCTCCTGCTTCGCTCTGGAAGTGTGGGGAAGTGGGAATTGGAACTCCTCTCTCACTTGGCTTTGGATTCTGGAAGCATTCTTGTTGCGTTCGATTTGGCTGTGTAGCCTTTAAATTCTTCTCTGGGTCGGTTTTGTGCTAGTGCTGGTGCTCGTCCTTTGGCTAGTGCTGATTTCTCTTAATGCTGAATGCTGAGGGCTGATGCTGGGGATAGTTGATTATGACGTACGACCGCGATGTGGCACTGTGACGAAGTTGGGGCGCCGTTCCACATTTCTACTCTGCCCGCTTATCGTTACAGGTATTCCAAAATCCCCGCTGTGATTTGATTTTATTGTAGGGGTTGAGTTTATCACAAATGTTGGGCTTGACTGGCAGGGAATAAAACTTGAAGGGACCGTAGAATTTGAATGACACTATGTGGCATATTTATGCACATACATATGTATGCTTGCTCGATATATTTTAATTTTAACAGACATTTAAAACTAGCAAAAACAAAAATTAAAAGAATGCTCGATCGAACGCGCCGCGTATTGCCAAGGACTGAGACTTCGTCCGCCGTGAATATGAATGTGTATGAGAAACTTGGTAGGTCACACTCAAACACAACCGGCGGCCGGAACCCGGCTAAGCCACCCTGATTTGAGCAACCCTGATCAAGCAGAAAAAGTGCGTTTGTTTTTTGCAAAATATAATTCAAAATTAATAAAATTATTCTATGGAAATGCGAGAAAACCTTCCACAACTTTATCAGGTGGTTAACTTTATCCTAATGACAACTAACCGGTACCGTAACCGGAAGTCGAGATACCGGCCCTAAATGTATTCCAATCGGTCAAAAACTTTTATTGCTTCATAGCAAAAGAAACATTCTAAGATCTTGAGACCTTTAAAATAAGCGCCACCCTAATGTTTACATGTACATTTCTCGCGCCATTTTTAGCCAAATTTTATTTGCAAGAGATAATTGAAATATTTTTATCCCAGGATTGGTGAGATTTGAACAGCCGGACTGTGCTTCAATTTTTTTGGTCGGGGTCGCGGTCAGAGACGAAGCATAGGTGAAAAGAGAATTAAAGCCCAGAGCGCTTCCTCTGTCTAAGGGGCGTCAAGAAAATCCACGCCAAATAATTGCTGTTTGGTCCCTAATCAAAATATTGGTATTATATAGTCTTTAGTATAAGTTAAAAAGTTTATAGGTCAAATTTATGCTGCATTTATTAGCTTTTCAGAATTGAAAATTGTATTAAACTAAGTGTAACATACTCAAAATGCAAATGCTTACTTTATCAGATGGTATAGTTCGGTGCATCTTCTGTGAAGTTAACGGTGTTCCTTTTGCTTTGGCGTTGGTGCACTGACGTGAAGTAGACTCTAAGGTACCTAGAATCGTCACAGATGGTCCAGTTAATGATGGCACCGCTTCTGACGTAGTCATGGTTAGCGATAGCGAAATATTTGCGAGGTGTTGTTTTTGCTTTTCTTTATAGTGCAACGATAATTCTTTTTGCACTAAAGGGTAAGATTGACGCTGATGATGAACTGCTGCTATTGTAGCTGCAAAGTTTGTTGATGAGGACGGCAAAAGCGGTTGCAGCGGAGCAATGACAGCACTTCTCTCATCTACTGATGGAGACGTTGCCGACCCAGCGGCTCCTAATGAAACTGACGAAAATACGCTCGGGGAAACGGAAAAAGAACGGTTCACATTTTGCGATTGCAAATTTTGTTCACTGACTAAAATGGACGTTTTAGGCTGACGATTTTGCGTTGGAGTTGTGGGTGTTACAACCGATGGGGTTGACGACATAGCGGTAAGCTAAAATGATTTCATTGACACAGTGCAACGACGAGAGAAGCACATAAAAAACCTTTTTAAAAAGAACAGAATTGTCCGACATACATAATGTAAATACATTAAATATTCTGACGAACGAATCTACAAAAATATATATGCACATAAGTTATCGAATAAAATACATATGTGATAATCCGAGAAATATGGTCCGTAAAATTCAACCTGACCGTCATCAGTGACTAAGTATCAATTAGCATTCGATTTGAAATAATGTCACAGTTCGATATTATTAAACAATTTCGCATTAAAATATATTAAATGAATTTTAATTTATTATAGTACGCCGGTTACAACAAATTTCGTATTATCAATAAAATAAACGTACAGATGAGAGCTACCGACACCAAATTTAATTTCTAGTATTGATGTGTGACATACAAATCTACATATGTATGTGTGCACATATTTAAATATACGGTTAAGCCCATATGTATATATAAATTTATAGGTTTTATTTATTTTAGATGATGTGCGTTTACATTAGTTCATCCTTTTTTTTATTATTTTGTTTATAATTTGTATTGTATGCACATACATAGATTCATATCTATATCTATGTATGTACACACACTCTTAACATTTAGTTAGTGATGACTCGCGAATGCACTATAAACAAAAAAGGTTTTTAACATAGTTAGCACTTTTTTTGTCCGTTACTTGTTTCACTTCCAATTCACAAGCATATTAAAGTTTTGTTAGAAAATAATTGTCATAACCAAAGAATTTATTTTCCTGGGCAGACAAATTTGTAAATAGATATACATACTAGTGATGCCTAAAAATCGATGGAACTATCGATAGTGCGCATTTAATAAATACTGCAGTTACATACCGCTTATACCCTTATAGCCTTTTCACACTGGGGACCATCCACCATCCACCATCCATTTCTGGGATGGTCCGTAAGGTTTTGCCGTTCCGAAAATTTCCCAGTTACTCCACCATCCTTCTGGGATGTTCCTAATTCTCACGTTTCAGTGCGGTATTTTTTCGATAATTGTCAAATGCAACCATATTTCACAACAAAAAATCGGAGATCACTACGAATATGTAAACAATGACAGACAGGAAAATATAAAAATAAAACAAAATAACCCCGTCCGATCTCACAAAGCACGCAAAAAATAAAAAAATATCAAATATCAGCTGCAGGTGATTTTATTTCGATGTGACATCCATCTAACATAAAAATTAAGTGATAAAATTAATTTACATATATGTATATACATATATTATGGATGATTTTATTGCATTATTACCAATTGCACCAGGCACTGAGGAAACCCAATTTCTTCAAATGCTTGGACACACTCGTCAATTTTCTCTGAAGTGAGATAGTTTTTGGACATGTATTCCTCTGAGAATTCGTTGATGAATGCTCTGCAAAACTCATGCAGGATATTGCAGACGCTGTTGGCTGACACTCCGAAAAACACTCTTCTCAGAAGAAGATCCCAAAGTATATAAAGATATGGCGATACGCTTCTCCAGAGAAATTGCAGCTCGGCAGTTTGTGTCCTTCTTCCGTAGCACTTCCAAGCGAGTAACCAACAGAGAAAAGCAGGATCTCTCCATCCTAAAACTTTCCTTAAAAAACGCCTCGTTGTTTTCGGGTACATCCTTCTCCCAAAATGTACCGAACCGCTTCTGAAAAACATAACATATATATTTGTACTTTAAACATTGGTTGCATTTATTAGAAGCACTCACAAATGACCACAACCTTCCGGGCTTCAGTGTTTTCAAAACAGATATCCATTCTATTATCTCCTCCTCGTCAAAGTTATCCTCATCATCATCGTCCATGTCCAACAACATGATTAGCTTGTGCAAGAATATTTTTTGCTGCTGAATCACATTCACGACCATTGAAATGTTATTTATATTCATTTTAATTAAAGTAAACAAATTTTCACCGCACACAATTGTGAACAACAGCTGTTTCTCATGGATGGTGGATGGTGTCAATGTGAATCGGTGTTTCACATCTTTCAAAAATTCCCACCGTTCCCCCAGGATGGACTCAGTGTGCAGAGAGTATAAAAAAAAATACCAGTTTTCAAAAAATTTTCAAAAAAAAGTTCTGCCATAGAAAAAAAAAAAATATCATCAAACCATTTCTAAGCCCCAAATCTTTAATAAAAAGTTGGTTTTGTTCCTTGAGGAAAAATCGTGTTGACCAGTGTTATCGCCGGTACCCCCGATTTCAACGACTGGGAGCAGGTTCGCTTTAAACAAGGCCAACTAGTGGAAGCAGAGGCAAACCAGATGGAGATCAACACCAAGATCCAGGACCGCCTAAACGAGCTGACTCATTACATGAACACGATACACAAATCCGACGACGCCGAGAGAAGGGGGGGATAATTCTGGCTAAAAACAGAATTATTATCACCGATCTGGAAAACCTCATCCTCGGCCTAACTCTGGCACGGATCCATATAATCAGTCCAGCCCTACTAGACGGCGCCGACATCCAAGAGTTCGAGGCACAGCATCTGACCAACCTCAGCTCGGTAGAACTCTTGGGAGTATCAAAAGTGAGCGTCTTCCAGAGCAGCGACCTACTCACGTTCCTGATAAAGTTCCCCCAACCCAAACGAACATGCCCAAAAATACTCATATTCCCAGTACAACACCAACGGAAAATACTGGACTTTGGCGAGGGAAACATCGTAGCAGAATGTGGAACAGAAGCCGTCAAAGTTGGCGACTGTGAGGCTACCGTCGGCGCAACATTCTGCCGACAATATCAAGGGAACACCTGCGCCCAACAGATGATGGCAGGGTCCGTCGCCCACTGCGCAACGCTGCCAGGGCACCTAGAGGCCATCAGCCCCGTGGATCACGGAACCATCATCATTAACGACGCACAAGTGACCATTTTGGAGGAGACTGGCGCTATACAGAACCTCTCTGGGACCTATCTGGTGACGTATTCCCACCGGATCGCGCTAAATGGGACCTGGTATGTAAACCATCTCGGGGACTCGCGACGAAAAGCCGTGGTGTCAGCAATGACACAGGTGAATGTGACGTCACATCGAGAGCAGCTGAGTCTACCCTTCTTGAGGGAACTCAGCCTGAAAAACCTTAAGCACATCGGCCACCTGCAAGAAGTGCTGACGATCAGAAGTGCTACCGCTAAATACGCTTGACAGCCCATACGGTAGAGTGGCGAGATGGGCCCTCGAACTTCAGCAATACCAATATGACGTGCATTATCAAGCGGGCAAACAGAACGTAGTTGCAGATGCACTATCCAGGCAGCCATTAGGAACACTCGCACGGATCGAAGAGGAGAAGACAGCCTGTCCCTGGCTCCAGCGCAGGATAAAACAAGTCCAGGACGAGCCTCAGAAATACCCCGACTACACCTACGCTAACGGGGAACTATATCGACATCTGGGCCATGGCGCCGACGACGACGACCATATAGCATGGAAACTCTGCGTAGCAAAAGATCAACGAGCCAGAATACTTCACGAATGCCACGACCAACCCACAGCCGGCCACCTAGGGGTCAGGAAAACCATCACCCGAATATCCCAACGGTACTATTGGCCAGGTTTCTACCGAGCCGTGAGGAAATATGTCCGTGGGTGCGTAAGCTGCCAGAAGTTCAAAGCTCAACAACGCAAGCCGGTGGGCCAGATGCTCACTCGCAAAGCCGAAGAGCCATTCGCTACACTATGCGCTGACTTTGTTGGACCACTACCTCGATCAAAGAAAGGAAACACGATGCTGCTCGTCTTCTTTGACACTTTCACGAAATGGGTCGAATTGGTACCACTCAAAAAGGCCACCACCGCTACCCTGGAACTGGCTTTTCGAGAACGAATCCTGAGCCATTTCGGCATACCCAAACGCTTTGTGTGCGACAACGGCACGCAATTCACAAGCCGATCGTTTCGGTCCTTTCTACAGACAGCAGGAGTAGAACTGCAATATACCGCACCGTACTGCCCCCAGGAAAATCCAACGGAAAGGACAAATCGGACGGTCAAGACCATGATTGCCCAATTCGTAGGGGATCGTCAAAATACCTGGGACGAGCTACTACCGGAAATATCACTCGCAGTAAATTCCAGCGTCTCGGAGACAACGAGATTCAGCCCAGCTTTTCTGCTGCATGGAAGAGAGCCCCGTTTGCCTGGAGCCCTCTATGACGAAGTCACGGCAGGCACCGGAAGCCCCCAAGAGACCGCTCTCGGCAAGGCAACCAAACTCAGCGAATATTCACCATTGTCAGAAATAACATCCAGAGGGCAAGCCAAGAACAAGGAAGGCATTACAACCTCCGCCGCCGGCAATGGCGCCCCACTATTGGATCCCTAGTACTCCTACGACAGCACCACCTCTCAAACGCGGCCGACGGATTCGCCGCTAAGCTGGCACCGAAATACGATGGACCCTACCGAGTCACAGTTTTTGCATCACCGAACACTGTAAAACTACAGCATCCGGGCAGCCGAAAAGCGAAGGTTGCTAACATCAACGACCTGAAGGAATTCCACGAGGAGAGGGATGCAACCGAAGAGGCCAATACTACCAATAGCACCGCAATCCCCCTAGCCCCGACTTTGGGTTCCATACATTGGCAGCTGACCAGCCAAAGCCAACGAATCTAAAGGCGAGAACGCAGCACACGCGCAGCCAATGACCAAAAACCCGCGGACTCAGAAGACGTAACCAACCGCCACTACAACGGAAGTAACGAACGCTCTCAAATGACGAGTTCAACACCCAAAGAAATGAAAACTCAGCACATGCGCCACCAAAATCCACCAAAATCCACAGCCAGAGACAAGACAAAGAAAAATAAATATCAGCCTCAGCACACGCGCGGCCGACAGACAGAAAAAGTCGAGGACTCAGCACACGTGACATCGAACGGCGATCACCCCCCGCAGCGAAATACCACCAATAACCTGGAAAAGTGTCGCTTAACCCGCTAAGACGAAACCTGAGCCCGGTTCGAAGAAAAGTCCCGTACATAGCCGCAACGGCCCTATCAAGAAAGGGAAAACGCTATATATAGCTGAGTTCTCCCGGTACTAAATCAGTTCGCTTCTTAACTCGAGCAAAAGACATTTCTACAAGTTACTCACCGTTAATTCAACGCCCATCGAAATACCCAAACAACACCTACGTCTACCGCAGCCAAAACAGTATGGACACTACATTAATTTTGTTCACCATGCTCACGACGGCCCAGGCACTAGTCAAATTACATGACTATACGAACGCCGGCTACATCCCCATAGTGGATGGAGATGCCGTCATCTGGGACAGCTACGGATACCTACGCCACACGACAAACGTAACCTCTTACGAAGAATATGTGGTCCAAACAGAACAGGCCGCCGACTTACCACCGACTTAGGCCACATCCGCAACCTAATCTCTACGCTAAAAATCCACCATCGAGACAGGCGGAGCATCAACATCCTAGGGACCGCCCTTAAAGTTACACTACTCGACAAAACCGAACTTTTTTTTTCCTCAAGGATCCAAACCGACTTTTTCTGATAGATATGGGGCTTTAAATTTTTTTTAAGAATTATGGTTTTTTTTCTATGGCAGAACTTTTTTTTGAAGAATTTTTGAAGTCTGGTATTTTTTTTTAAAGCTTTTTTCAGAGGTAGCGCTTGTTTTTTTCACATAACTCTAGTATCATCTGGCTGTTAAGAACTTTGCTATTTTGAAAAGGTAATTTAAACAGCTAGAAGTTAAGCCCAAATACTTTGTGATTTCAGCTTACTTTTCTTTAGCTTTTCTTTACAACCAGACTTAAGATACTAAAGTTATGTGAAAAAAACTATCGCTACCTCTGAAAATAGCTTAAAAAATACCAGTTTTCAAAAAATTTTCAAAAAAAAGTTCTGCCATAGAAAAAAAAAAAAATATCATCAAACCATTTCTAATCCCCAAATCTTTAATAAAAAGTTGGTTTTGTTCCTTGAGGAAAAATCGTGTTGACCAGTGTTATCGCCGGTACCCCCAATTTCAACGACTGGGAGCAGGTTCGCTTTAAACAAGGCCAACTAGTGGAAGCAGAGGCAAACCAGATGGAGATCAACACCAAGATCCAGGACCGCCTAAACGAGCTGACTCATTACATGAACACGATACACAAATCCGACGACGCCGAGAGAAGGGGGGGATAATTCTGGCTAAAAACAGAATTATTATCACCGATCTGGAAAACCTCATCCTCGGCCTAACTCTGGCACGGATCCATATAATCAGTCCAGCCCTACTAGACGGCGCCGACATCCAAGAGTTCGAGGCACAGCATCTGACCAACCTCAGCTCGGTAGAACTCTTGGGAGTATCAAAAGTGAGCGTCTTCCAGAGCAGCGACCTACTCACGTTCCTGATAAAGTTCCCCCAACCCAAACGAACATGCCCAAAAATACTCATATTCCCAGTACAACACCAACGGAAAATACTGGACTTTGGCGAGGGAAACATCGTAGCAGAATGTGGAACAGAAGCCGTCAAAGTTGGCGCCTGTGAGGCTACCGTCGGCGCAACATTCTGCCGACAATATCAAGGGAACACCTGCGCCCAACAGATGATGGCAGGGTCCGTCGCCCACTGCGCAACGCTGCCAGGGCACCTAGAGGCCATCAGCCCCGTGGATCACGGAACCATCATCATTAACGACGCACAAGTGACCATTTTGGAGGAGACTGGCGCTATACAGAACATCTCTGGGACCTATCTGGTGACGTATTCCCACCGGATCGCGCTAAATGGGACCTGGTATGTAAACCATCTCGGGGACTCGCGACGAAAAGCCGTGGTGTCAGCAATGACACAGGTGAATGTGACGTCACATCGAGAGCAGCTGAGTCTACCCTTCTTGAGGGAACTCAGCCTGAAAAACCTTAAGCACATCGGCCACCTGCAAGAGTGCTGACGATCAGAAGTGCTACCGCATATATTCTCACGGCAAGCATCGCATTTCCACTCTGCGTAATCATTTGGGTCCTACATCGCCGGCTGGGAACCCAAAACACGGCGCCTACAGACCCCGAGGCCCCAGCCCGCGAAACCGACTCCAGCCAGGTACACACCACCGCCGTTAGAATTGACAAATCCCACGAACCTCGAAAACAACCAGACGCGGCCACCCGAGTAGGGCCAGCCCCACGACCACCGGGCCAGGGAACGCGGATCACTCCCGTGCTCAACCACTAGACGCGTCACCCACAAAAAAATGCTGACCACGGCTTCTGCCCGCCGTTCGACGGACGACAAGTCGAAAACCGAGGCAACATCGGTGTGTGAAACGGTAGTGCCCACCAGTACTACCAAACATACCCATAAAGGAAGACAACAAGCTGCGACTCCAAGACTACGAAGGAAAAAAGATAATAAACAATGAACAACAACTACAACAACGACGATATTATCGTCATCTCCTCTGACGAGGAGTCAGAAACCTCCACCACCAGCACCGAGGAAGACCAGTACCATAGATTCCGACGGGAGAATCTATGGTCCCCCCCACCAAGGGCGAGGACACCAACCGCCAACACCTCGCCAAGGCCGGCCACGCCGTCGTTTTCGCCAAGGCCGCACAACGCCGAGGAGTGGCCCCCAGCCCCGACACCGGAGACAGCACCACCCGGGCGGAAGAGCCCCCCGCTGTTCACCCGTAGACCGTCGGGGCATCGCCACCAAGGCGACCCCCGCACGCCGCCCCGACCAGCTGAGCCCAAGAACAGCCCCGAAACGGAGCCAACCGTTGACGAGGAACCATACGCCCGCCGCGTCTACAAGGAAGTGGAGAAGTACCACTACACCAAGACGTCCTGGGGCATCAGGGTGACCCCGATCCACCCCACCGCGGTGGATGTACTCGTTCCCCCAGGACAGAGCGCGAAGAGGTACTGCGGGTTATACCGAAAGCAATTTGGGACATGCGAGTCGGAGGAGGAAGGTACAAGTCCCGGCCCCAGCAGGAAAAGGCGCCACTACGATTAAACGCGGCGCCCCACAACACCACCTCCTACCGGTAGAAAGGGGGGGGGGGGTAACGAACCATGGTTCCCCATGGTTCGTCACAACACAGGAACACCTGTCTTTAAGGCGAAAATATCTCTACATGTATAACCGTATAAATAAACACTAAGTAAAACCTCAAATTTCCCTAAGCTACATTCCTTTCCCACGGTACCGGTGCACACCGATAACCTTACCTGGGACATTGGACCCTTGTTGGGAGGCGATTGCTTAGGTAACCCTCGATTACCGGGCAAAACCCCCACATGCGCGAGCCAGTCAGCAGTCTTTGACTCTCCTTACCGGGGATATTGGACACTGACTGCAGGGCTAATGATTTGGTAACCTTCTGTTACCGATCAGCCCGTCTGCACGCGCAGACTATAATTCGGCCAGAGAGATTTATGTAAGAACCCTTCCCACGGTCTGGAGTAGAAATAAGATATCTATAAGACATTCATGGAAGGCCGGCCGATCTATAAAAAGGCAGTCCATCGGCCATCGTAGGAGTCAGTCAAATCACCATCCGCGTCGTAGTACAAGTAAACATAACATAGCCGGGTAGAATAATCATACGGAAGAATAAAGAAAACCATTAAAATTAAAAGAACCAAAAAGTGTTGTGATTTCTATTTCAGTTTCTGGAAAAGTTCCTGGTTTTCCCGATAAAGTCCTCGTGAATTATAAATAACTTGTAAATAAGTAAATAAATAAATAAATAAATAAATACCTCAGCCTGAAATAGGACATTACAAGACTAAGAAAAATTGTAAATAGAACTGCACAGAGGCGACGATTGACGAGAGCGGCTACGAAGTCGAGAATAGCGGGACGGCGAGAGGCAAGTCAGTTGGTTTGTGTGAACAACATTGGTATGAAAGAAATTTAAATTTCGCGGTTTTTTTTCAAATATTTTATCTTTAATTCAAAATGTTGTACTTACTTTAAAATTTCAAATCATTTATTAATCCAAACCGAAAATTGTAATTAGGTGCATAAGTATTTTTAAGAGTCTATTTCACATTCCAAAGCATTATTGTAAACGGTTAAAAGCATTATAATGTAGGCCAGAGCAATTTTAGAAATGACGGTGACCCTCTTGAAGGCAAAGTTGATTGAACTGGGCTTGGAAACGACGGGGAGAAAGAGTGTTTTGCAGGATCGGCTCTTCGATCATTATGGCTTGAATGTGGGTGAGTGCGCGGATGACGATGATGTGAGTGAGGCTGGTGAGTCCAGTATCTACGCCGACGCAAGCACTAATGTTACATCAAGATTTACATTACGAGATGTCCAGGACAGTGTTTCATCATTTTCGGGGTCAGCACTGGAAGACGTTTATCACTGGTTGTCAGAGTTTGAGGATGTCGCAATGACTGTTGGCTGGGATAAGCTTCAGAGATTCATATACGCCAAGCAACTTTTGATTGGAGCCGCCAAGCTATATATCAAAAGTGTCACAGGTGTTCGAGGATGGATAGAACTTAGAAATGCATTAAAGGAAGAGTTTGATAAAAAATTATGTTCAGCGGAGATTCACAACATCTTGCGACGAAAGCAAAAATTAGGGAAAGAAACTTGTATTGAATATTTATATAGTTTGATGGAAATAAGTAAGCCAATCCGACTTGACGAGGAAAGTATTGTAGCATATTTTATCGAAGGAATACCAGATAGCAAGGTAAATAAGGCTGCGATGTATCGCGCGAGAACAATCAAAGAGCTAAAAGATGAAATTACCATATACGAGAAGATGAAAGGAAAAGGAAATAACAAAGTAGGTTATGGCAAGGAAGATTCAGGTAAAAAGAATCAAAATGACAGCCTGAAGAAATGCTTTAAGTGCAACACGGAAGGTCATTTTGCAAGAGATTTCAAGGGGGAAGTAGGTTGCTATTTCTGCAATAAAAAAGGTCACATTTCGAAGAACTGTGATCAGAAGAATGCAACTTATTCCGTGAAGAAAGAGGCTGCAAATGCTCTGGAAATGAAAGCTAACAAAGGATTGATTTAAAAGAAACTAGTAGCTGCAGGAGTATAATTTATGGCCATGATTGACTCAGGGTGTGATTTGTGCTTGATGAGGGAAGATATTTTTCAGAGTTTTAGGGCCAGCTAGTGACTGTAGGATGCTTTGATGTCGATATTGTAGCAGATGAAGTCAGTTTCAGCGCAACCTTTCACGTAGTAAAATAGAAAGAGTTTGAGTATGCTGCTATCATAGGAAACGATGTACATCAATCTGTCGATTTTATATTTAGCTCAAACGGCGTACAGTTTAGAGCTATAGAGTACGACTTTGCTCCGATCTTTTAAGGAATGGTTATTAAGGATGACTTAGAAACAAAATCGGTTGTGGACAAAGTCCATCTGTCTCATTTGGGAATAGACCAGAAGCGTCAGGTTGAAGTGTTGATAAAAAAATATAATCCGGTGACATCGATAGTTTCTCCCGTCAGCATGAAGATTGTATTGAATGACGACATTCCTGTATATCAACGCCCACGACGCACTTCCCACGAGAATAGGCGTTTTATAGAGAAGACAGTACAAGAATGGCTAGCAGAACGAATTATAGTACCGAGCTGCTCAGAGTACGCGTCCCCGGTAGTAGTAGTTTCGAAGAAGAACGGATCGAGAAGACTTTGTTGTGACTACCGTAAGCTTAATAAAAAGATTAAAAAGGACAATTTCCCCATGAGCTTGATAGACGACGTTCTCGATAGGTTGCAAGGCTCTAAAATATTCACAACACTGGACATGATGAACGGATTTTTCCATGTGCCGTTGAGGAAGAGTCTAGAAAGTTCACAGCCTTTGTAACGCATAACGGGCAATACGAGTTCACACGCGTACCGTTTGGTATTACAAACTGACATGCGGTGTTTTGTCGATATGGCAGTGCAGTGTTGAGGGATCTTATTCAAACTCAGACGATTGTGGTTTATATGGTCGATATAATCATACCAACTAAGAATGCGAAGGAAGGGCATGTGGCGTTAGGGAGAGTGTTGAGTGTGGCATCCAAAACTGGATGGAGAATAAAGTGGCAAAAAGCACAATTGTTGAAAAGCAGGATTAATTTTCTAGGGTATAATATTGAGAATGGAACAATAGCACCTACAGACGAAAAGATCAAAGTGGTCGTTAATTTCCCAGTCCCGAAAAGCCGACAAGCTTTACAAAGATTCGTATATGAGGCGCTTTATGAAAGGCTACGCCTTTACAGAAAAACCATTGAGTGACTTACTACGTCAAAATAGTAATAAAATTGACGATAGACACGTAGAGCTGAACGAGCAGGGTCTAGTGACGTTCAATTTCTTGAAACATCTACTAGTATCAGCACCTATGCTAAAATTGTTCGATCCGATAGCTGTAACCGAGGTACACACAGATGCCAGCAAGTATGGCTTCGGAGGCATTTTAAAGCAGAAAGACTCTGAAAATCAACAATTTAATCCGATTGAGTTCATGAGCAGAAAAACAAACCCTTTCGAGGAAAAGTACAGCTCCTACGAACTCGAGGAATTAGCCATCGTCAGCGCGATAAAGAAATGGAGAATTTATTTGCTGTGAAAGCAGTTTACAGTCATCACAGATTGCAACGCTTTTGCAATGACCATCAAAAAAGATGATTTACCGCCCAGAGTGGCAAGATGGGCCATGGCTCTACAAGAATTTGATTTTAAAGTAGAACACAGAGCTCGAACTAAGATGAATCATGTTGTTTTGTAGGAGGGTGGATGTTGGTCGTTCCCACAGTTCGGATTCCCAATAAAAAAAAAGGCGGGGGCGTCAACTATAATTGGCGTGTATTTGGCGTGCACAAAGCTGAGGGCTGAAGACGGTTGTAAATAGGCGCGTAGGTGTCGAGAGACTGTTCTCTCCCGCTCGGCCTACGGCTAGCGCCCGTGATGGAGCGCCGAGTGGATCGCGTCCACGCCGCGCGAGAGCGAAGGGCATGGGAGAGCGCGCGAGCTAACAGAGCGCTGTTAACCGCGCTGCTGCCCTAAACATCCTCCTCCCCTTGGAGGACTGCAACATCACCTCCTATGGCTGCGTACAGGCCCCGGACACAATCCATCCGAAAACAGTGCTTTGGGCCACTGGAAGGCCGTCTCCTCGAGCAAGGAACCCGGGTTGGATCACCTTCTGGTAGACATCTGCTTCTAATACTAGAGAGACGGTGGCCGGGCGATGGAATTGCTCATTGGCAAGGCGGATGTCGTTGAACCTGACTCGAGTCGCCTCGCTCAAGGGTCGCAGCGGCGTGCGGACGCGTAAGCGGGGCGCCAGTTTGAGGACCACGTCCAATTGGACATCGCCGGTCCTGGCGCGGATAATAGCGGTGGCAACCTTCTCCGCTCCGATGCGCGTGCTGGGCAACTTTAAGTCGGCGGCCAAGGAAGCGTCAATGCAGCTCACAGGCGTGCATGGGTCGATGAGAGCCGTTGTCTCGTGGGTTTTTGTTCCCGTGTCCAAGACCACCCGGGCTGTCGGGAGGCAGTTGGTGCTTCGGTGCTGCAACAGCGTATAGACCGATGGAGCCGGATGACCCACGATGGGTCGGCGATCGGCTCGGGACACCGGAGCTGGAGACGGACCTGGAGTCGCGGCTGACGACTCCAAGCGGGCTGGACGCTGAGAGGACCACGTCTTTGGGCGTCTTGCGGGAACCCGTTGCAGCGATCGGCTCGGGACAACGGAGCTGGAGACGGAGCTGGCGATTCCGAGCGGGCTGGGCGCTGGGACGGTCGCATGTGGACCAGCGTGTGATGGTCCTTGTGGCACACCTTGCACCGGCCACCACTTCGGCAATCCTTGCCAGAGTGCTGATGAGCCAGGCAGTTCCGGCAGTATTTGTTTACCAACACGGCTCGGAGCCTCTTCGCCACGCTCAGCTTGAGAAAGCTACGGCAGTCCCGTAGTGGATGGCTTCCGGAGCAGACTCGGCAGCGGTAGGAAGCTTGTACTCGGGA